AACTTGAGCAGAGCGCCCATCCGCGATTTGCCCAGCTCGACCCCTCGGTGTCCGTGAAGATGCCGCAAGCCGAGAGCCGCAATACGGAAATCGACATGTGCAGTACGACCCGCTTGGCTTCTTAACCTGCTGAGCTAGCGAAGTCCACTTAAAACCCACCAGCCACATGGGCACGTGGTTTGTAGCGATCTCCCTTTCCAACCATTCGGGGAGGGGTTGGCCCCACCCCCTCCACGCCACACTGTTGTAACTCTTTCGGGAGGCCTGCTCGGGCTGTGTTTGGGCCGTGTTTGGGCTCTCGTGGAGCTCTCTTGGGACTTCTCAGAGCCTGAGGGGCAATCCTAGGGCCGAATTGCGACCACCGTGGCGTCAAGGACAGGTGGTCCAGCGCTGCGCGTAGGAGAACGGTCTACGTTCCGGCACGCCTGCAACTACCGCGCGGAGGATGAGAAGCAGGTGTGCCCAAATGTTTTCTATCCACGACGCAACCGAGCGGGCGGCCAAACGGCTCCGCCCAAGTCCCAGGCGGCTCCAGGCACCCCCAGAGAACCTGAAGACACCCCAGATAAGACCCCCAGGATGATGTCCAAATGGCAGAAACCATCAATTGTCGTCGTGGTGGTGCTGCTGCTGTTCGTAGTTGCGATAACTATTGCAATAAGTGTAGTGCTGCTCGCAATCGCTCTGCTGTTTGCGTTCCTGCGAGCTGCCGCGCCACGCCCTGCTCGCCCGCCTCTGGTTCCAATGAATCGGTGACGTCCGCTTCTTCGGTCTTGCGGGCGGCCAACAAGTCTTCAAGACGGCCACCGGGGGCCGCGAGACGGCCCAGCAGGGCCCCCCAAAAAACGCCCAGAGCCAGCCGAACGTGAGCACCGAACGCCCCCCAAAACCACTCCACATCGGGACCTCGTCGTTGAGAAAAACCGCGGTTGCCAGTAGGATGGTCTCCAAAAAGCCCCTGGAGGCTCCCAAGATGCTCCCGTGATGCCTCCAGGAGCTCTCAGAAGAGCACTCCAAGAAGCCTCCGAGAGGCGATGGAGAAGCCTCCCACAAAGGAACCGGGGATCACAGCAGAGACCAGCAGCAAAAGGGGCGGAGGGGGAGGTAGAAGAGGTGGGAGGGGGGCGCGCAGGGGAGGAGGAGGAGGAGGAGTAGGAGGAGGAGGCGGAGGAGGAGGAAGAGGAGGAGGAGGAGAAGAAGCAGGAGACCGTTCGGCGTACGGGGCGTGTCATGACGGCCAAAGAAAGCCCCAAGACTGCCCCAGAGAGCCCCGAAACTGCCCACAAAAAACTAAGGATGCCCCCAGAAGGCTCCGAAGAGAAACCCACGAAAGCCATGGGAGACCCCCAAGAGGGCCATTGGAGGCCCCAAGAAAGCCCTAGATGGCTTCAGAAGACCTCTGGAAAGACCCGGCTCCCCAAGACGGCTCAAGAAGGCCCCAGGGCGGCCCAAGAGGGCCCCAGGACGGCCCAGGAGAGCCCCCAAAACACCCAGACGGCGTTCTCGTACGAAGTACATCGAGCTTACCCGACGATCACGGTTCCACGCTTGAGGCTCGAGCTTTAAGTTCCTCGATCGAAAGGGGCACGCAATGGATCGATATTCGAATTTCGACGATCGAAAATTTCCTGAATGCCTGGGGCCGGCCAGGCATTCAGGAAGCGACCGAACATCGATTTGTTCGGAGCTATTGCGGCTTCTTCGGCGTGTCATGGGAACGCTCCTTACTTCCTCAAAGGACCTTCGCGAATGACAAACACAAATGTCCTTTCCCACTCCTGCGCACAAGCGTGCAAGCGCATCGGGCGAACGCGGTGTCAGCAGGCACCAGGGGCACCAGAAAAATGAACGGGTCGCCCGCCCAGGAGTCGAGGTCCCCCCTGCTGAAGCAAGCGATGATTTATTGCTTTGCCGGGGAGGGCTCGGAACAACGCGCGCGGCACGAAGCGCCAGTGCAATATTGCATGCGTGCGTATATATATATATATATATATATATATATATATGTATTCTCATACGCACCTCTCCGAGGGAGTAGAGCTCAGAGGCGATTAATGCGCACGCGTCCGCGATTTTTCTGGGCGTTTCGCTCGGGACATCCTCGAAATTCTGAAAATCGGTGGCACCCCTCACGCAGATCGCGACGTCAGGGTCCAAAAACACATGGGAAATTCAACATTTTAACATAAAACCTTCAAAAACACATGGTAATTTCAATAATTGTGACCCCGATTCTCAGTGAATGGCGGTTTCGCTTGAAAAATCCTTCCAAAATCGAGCCCCAGACCCCGCCTCGGAGCCTCCTGGGGGCCTCCTGGAACCTCCTGGGGCCTCCTGGGCCTTCTGAACCTTCTGGCACCCCAGACCCCGCCTCGGAGCCTCCTGGGGGTGTCCTGAAACCTCCTGGGGCCTCCTGGGGCCTCCTGCGGCCTCCTGGAGCCTCTTGGGGCCTCCTGAAGCCTCCTGGGGTCTCCTGGGGCCTCCTGAGGCCGCCTGGGGCCTCCTGGGGCCTCCTGGGGCTTCAGAACTACATGCACACAGAGACACAAATCACGCCCAACACATCACACGCTAGACAAACATAACACACACACACACACACCTACAACACACAAAAAGCACGCACCACACGAAGCATACATCACAAACACACACACACACACACACACACACACACACACACACACACACGCACAACACTCACAATCCTGGGGCCTCCTGGAGCCTCTTCTGGTATCCAAGTCGGGCCTCCTAAGGCTTTCTGGGGGCCCTGGTACACACATCGCAAGGTGTGGCAACCCCACTTGCGCTCGAGTGCGACTTCGATGTTGCATTTCACTCCTGCTTCAAACGCCCCTTCAGTTTGTTGTATGAGCCTGGGCACACACGTGCCACTTGTGTGTATGTATATATAGATACATGTATGTGTAGATGTATGTGTATATGTATATGTATATGTGTAACTCGATCTTCAAATTCTTCCGAAGCTCCCGGTTGTTGCATGATTTCGGCACGCGCGCACGACATCGCGCGCGTGAGCTTTGTCGTGTTAGTTTTCAAATGTGTATATGTGTGTATATTTATCAACTCTTGCAAAGTATTGTTGGCAATGTATGACTGTTGATCAACGGGCGTGCGTGTAGCATTATATGACAAGGATGAGGGGGGCAATGCCGGCGTCGCTGGGATGGTGCGAGTTCGCATTGACATGAATGGTGGGGCGGAATCAAATGTGACTTGCACTTCCCCCGAACGCGGTCCTTCGGAGGCGGTGGATAACATTATTTTTGGAAAGTCGCATCTATGGTGGAACAAATGTGGCATAACAACTTTTCTTCGCGGTGATTTGCCGCCTCCACTGCTCCTGCAATCGCCCAAACCGCTCGCCCGCAACTTGGCTTGCAAAACCAATGCGGCGGCGATTGCCACGACTGCTCGGCGCTGGCCGGCGCATCGCTGCGACCGCGCTAGCTCGCGCAGGCTCGCGCGCGGACTCGCTATGCTGGCGCGGCCGACAAGGCCACGGTGGCGCTGACTGCTGGGGACTTCAAAGCGCATCTCGCAGGTCGCGCTGACGCGCGGCCACTTGATCGCGAGTCGGTGACTCTGGCGGGCGCGGCGCTACGGCGACGTCGACAACGGCGAGGGCGATGATGATGGTTGCGATGGTGGCGACGATGACGACAACGCAACGAGGCCAATGACGACACCTATGCTGATCATGCCAATGAAGATGATAGTGCGCGCGTGTCGGCGATGGAGGTGCCGGAGAGATTTCGACATGCGCGCGCGGCCGACGGGCGCGAGTGGCCCGCATATGCCCGCATGGTTTCGTACGAAAACACGAGATTTCAAAGGGGTCCGGCATGCGCGCACGTCGCCGCGCGCGCGTCCAGTTCAGTTTGCCTCATTTGACGCATGGGAGTCGCGCCCCCAGCAAACGCGCAAGATCTTTCGAATGACGTCGAGATGCGCGCACTAGAGGCCCGCGTGGTCGCATTTGAGGACCGCGCAGGCCAACTAAACTCTGATCACAAGGCTTCGCGCGAGCGCGTGCCAACTTGCATTGAGAAAACCACGTTTGATAACCATGAATTCTGAAACGTGTTGTCGGGGGCATCGACCTTAAAATCCTTGCGAAACCTACGATGACTGAGAAATGTCTGCATGCGCGCGCTACGCCACGCAGGCGCGTGCTGTTTGTCGTTTGTTGCAATGAACTATTGGCAACTGATGCTCTGATGGACGCATGCGCGAAGATGAGGGGGGGCAATGCGAGCTGGGCTGGGGCGGCATGGACTCATGCCACAAATGGATGGCGGCGCAACACCATATGTAAGTTGGGCTGTCGCAAGGGGAAGCGCGAAGACCAGGCGGGGTGGGGCGGTGGATCCAAAGATCTTTCGAGCAAGGACAATACGTTTTGCAATATCATGGTGACGTCAGCGAGGGCCGCATTGATGATGGTAGCGCCGATGGTGAAAGATGGCGCCGATGACAGCGGCAAAGCCAATGGCGACGGCGATGCCTGTCGCGCCGACGACGAGATGGCGCCCGCGTCGGTGATGGAGGTGTCGGAAAGATTTCGGCAAGCACGTGTGGCCGACGCGAACGATCTATTTCCCCGCCGGGGTCGCCGCCCCCCCCCCCTCCCCAGCGAGCGCGCAAAAGTGTTCGAGCGATTCCAACATGGCGTGCGAGGGGCCCCCGCACTCGCATTTGATGAGAACGCTGATGAACCGACGGTTTCCCTAAGAATTCGCAAGAGCGCGAGCGCGGCTTGTTAAGATCCACGCGGCGCATCCAATGATTTTGGTTTTGGCATGTGTTCGGGAACTTCGATCATGAAACCCTTCTGGCGATTCTAGTTTCTGAAGGGTTTTGGCGTGCGCGCGCCGCGCCGCGGCGCGTGGATTTGATGTTTTTCTATGTTTTTTTGCAGGGGGTCCAGGGGAAATGATGATTTGCCATGAACGAGTGTGTGCGCAACGTGCTGGCATGGCTGGGATCGATCATGTGAGTCCATATGGGGAAACAGACGATGCCCTCAAACATCCCCTATCAGCGCCCTCCTCTCCCTCCCCCTCCCCCTGCCCC